CGAACCAAATAAATTTCCAAAAATCCTGGTAAAGTTCAATTCATTGAGTCGCGTCGCAACGAAAATGATTTTCCAAGTTCGTTATTAATATTCACCCGTAAGTGGCAATTTAGTTTGCAAATATACGTATCAAAATTGAGTTCAATAAAAATACAGAAAATATGTACCTTTTCTAAACATAATTAAAAGCAACTTGAAAGTAATTTTTCATAAAGATGAAAATCTTTCAATTTCCAAATGGCGTATCGATTCAAAAAAAAACTCCAGCCGAACCAAATAAATTTCCAAAAATCCTGGTAAAGTTCAATTCATTGAGTCGCGTCGCAACGAAAATGATTTTCCAAGTTCGTTATTAATATTCACCCGTAAGTGGCAATTTAGTTTGCAATTAGACGTATCAAAATTGAGTTCAGTAAAAAATACCAGCGCATAGAAAAAGCACAGAAGAGTTCGTTTCTTTCAAGGACGAATAAAATATGTCGCTTAATCAGCTGGAAATTCCGACGATGAAAATTCGTCTGCGACATAACGATTATGCACGCAACGTGCTATCATTTTGTTCCGCGCTGTATTCGTGTCGATGCACACGAGCAGTTCAAAGAAACGTGCAATGGAATGCACGTAACGTCCCTTCGGTCCACGTGTTCCCGCGGTATTAAATTGCACGCGTTCGAATTGCTATTCCTCCCGCTATCTTCTCGCTGACAACGACGAACGTTCTTCGTCGCACAGTGGTGCGCCGTTTCGCCAAAAAGCGGCTATTGTTTTCAGCCGAGGCTTCGAAGCCGCTTACGTAAAAAAAGTGTTGCAACAATTTTTTTCACGGTAATTCAATCTTCGTTCTCCACAAACTAAAACTTTTTCGACTTTTTTCTACCTTCTCGACTTTTTCGATTGTTTTTTCATTTTTGGATATTTTGAACTTTTCTATTTTTTCTTTTTTATATTTTTTTTTTACCTTTTTTGACTCGCATCGACTTGCACCGTTTCTGCTTTATTTAATAAATAACAAAAGGTAATTCGATTCCTCGAGTAAAAGTAATATAATTTATACAATTATACAAATTGTATAAATTATACATTATATTTACAGTATTTATATTTATAACATATTTATACAATATTTATACAATTATACAAATTGTATAAATTATACATTATAAATTATAAATTATACAATTATACAAATATTGTATAAATTATACATC